CATAGAAAATACCAAGACTGTTGCACATAACCATTTAAGTTCTATGAAATTGTTAGTATCCATCATACAACATACACAAACACACTTCTGAAGTAGGTCAGGATTTAAAGTATATTTCTCAGTATACTTGGTTAAAATTTAAAAATTTGAAAATACATGTTTTAAAAAGACACTAGAATTTATCTAGAGTCTCCAGCAAGGCCTGCTCCTGGCCCTGGGAGGATTTCTGAAGCATCTGGGAAAGCATCTGTCTCCCTGACCGAATCCTGGCACAGGCTATCTGATCCTTGCCCAAGGGTTGGTGACTCCCTTTGACCCTGACTGTGTAGAGGGAGCCCTCTGCCCCCACTATGGACAGCTAAAGGTACACCTGTGTTGTCTCAATTTTCTCCTTTGTAGCTATGTTTAAGAGTCCATTTGGACAAGGGAAGAAACCTCTAGATACGTTTTTCTGGGTAAACGAGGTAAGTGGAGAACTTACCTACCCACCACTGAAGGCAGATGTACCTGAAGCTTCTCCAGCTTCTGTGGAGAAGCCCCAAGAGAGGCCCAGATCTCAGCATGGGAGCATGCAGGGGGCTCCTCTCAATGACCAGGGCCCATCCAGCACACCTGCGCAGAAGGTGGCCTTTCCACTGCCTCCTAAGGCTTCACTGAAAGACACTGGCTCCAGGCACTCCCGCGGCCTGGCTAAGGCTGGAGCAAGGAGCGCCCCACCATTCTCAGCAGTTCCTGTTACCATCTCACCACCAGGAGGTGCTCTGCCAACATGTGGCCCCCTTGGACCAACCCCTCTACCTCCAGCCTCTTCCCTTCTTCCCAGCCCTTCTGCCCCCTGGGCCTTCACCCGCAAGCTGAAAAATGTCCTTACTGGGAATAACCGATTTTCCTTTTGAATTTATGAGTATTTGCGTGGCCACACCTTTCTGAGACACTCATGGTCAGAACAGCCCGCCATCATGCTCACGTTGAGGATGCTTCTGCCTCCCCTGGAAGTGCACAGGACTGCGCACAGGACTTCTTAGAAGAACACACCAACTGCTTTCAAACCCCATATAAATTTAACTTAGATTTTGACACATAATGTTTTCTAGACATTCTTTTACCTCTCAAGCCACCTTAGTATTTTGCTCATAAGTTTTTGGAGTTTAATACTTTGGTTCTGATGTTGGTATCAGAGCAGTATGTTTGGTCCCAGCCAGAGCCAGAAGGATACCTCTTTGGTTGAGATAGGAACAAACCAGGATGTGTAGGACCTGTCGGCCCTGTGTTTCTGGGTACAGCCCAGGGGGTGGAACTCAGGGCTACCCTGGGCCATGAGTACAAAGTGGCTAGAGCCTTGCCAGGAGCTCTCCTTGAGGCATTCTGAGGTGGACAGAGCCTTTGGGCGGGGCAGCCCTTCTAGCTCTGCCTCCCCTGGTAGATAGGCTCTGGATGATGCTTTGGTGGGACAATGGGCAGCTGCTTGACCCTCCAGGAATGGAGTGACTGGTCCAGTTATGCTGGGGTGTGAGACAGTAAGTAGGGGCTCAGAAAGAGGACCCCAGGAAGCCCCAGTTCTCAGGCCTGGGGAGCAAAAGCCTATGGTCCAGCCTTGATTCTGCAGTCGATGTGTCCTGTGACCCAGTCAGAATCCTGCCTCTCCTGGTCTTAGTATCCCCCCTGTACAATGTAGGGGTGAGCAAGCCTGTCTGCTAGACCTTCTCAACTTCACTGTCTATCACTATGTCAGCAGGAACCAGGGATGGGTGAGGCCCTGGGGACACCAAATGGCAGGAGGCCAGGCACTCACAGTGTCAAAAGGGCCACCAGGCCCAGCTGGGGCCACGTGTTCTGGGCAAATCTCCACGGGTTGCCACCACACTCATACTTCTGACCGATTGTGCAGCCTCCAGAATCAGCAGGAGGGGCCTCTGCCTCCTGCAATGCACCTCCAGGGCACTCTACTGAAAAAATTTACTATGGTGCTCAGTCTGAAGTAGAGAAGCTTAAAGGAATTCCCTCTGGTTCTGCAGAGCATGTAGGAAGTATGGCTTCATGCTGAGCAGCAGCAAGTAGGTCAGTGGCACAGAGCGCCTACAACACAGCTCTAACTTGGAACTCAGCATCCCAAGGAGAAAAGAGAAGCATGTGCACAGACAAGTTCACTGCAGACAAACTAGAAAAGTGAGAGGCTGGAACCAATTCAAATACCCAGTAAATAGGGCAGGCTAGGTGGAGCCTGGAATCCCAGGAAACTCTAACTTTGGGAAGGCTAGTGGATGTGAAATAATGCTTGAGTAGGAAGGAGAGTGTGCACCTTACCAGGGTCTCAGGTGGACTTGGCATGTTGCTCACAGATGGTGGGTTCCCTCTGCAACATCATTCAAGGGAAGATTAAAATAAATGGGGCTTGCAGTGGTGACCCCCAGTCACCAGGACAGTGGATTGAATGGTGGCCCCAAAGGATGTGTTCATGTCCTAACCACTGCAACCTTGTGAATACGACCTTCTCTAACAAATGTGGTTAAGTTATGGGTCTTGAGAGGAGAGGCTTAACCTAAATTATCCAGTAGGCCCTATACCCATTCACCTGCATTCTTCGAGGAGAGACACAGGGTGAGTTTTGAGACCGGCACACAGAGGCAGAGATTGGAGTGATGTGGCCACAAGCCAGAAACACTGGCAGCCCTAGAGCCCAGAAGAGGCCAAGAAAGGACTGTCCTCCCAGGCCTCTGGAAGGAGCAGGGTCTCGCTGACACCTTGATTTTGGACTTCTGGTTTCAAGACTGTGAGGGAATGCACTTGTTACCCGGTTTGTAATTTGTGTCAGCCCCAAGAAGCATAAACCAAATGCAGGCTCTTGTCTGCTTGGTCCCTGCTGTGTTCCCACTGCCTGCATACAGTAGGTGCTTCCTAAGTGTTTGCTCAATGACTAATAGGAAAAAGATCAGGAAATCATTCAGCCAAGATTTTGCTCCAAAGTTTAAACATCCTGCTTTTTGGGGTGGGGGTGGAAGCGGGGTCTGGAGCCGGTGTCTATATAGATCATCCCTCTGGCGGATTACACTGCCAGTTCTGCTGACCTGGAAGTCTCTGACTCATGGGTGCTGACACTAGGTCCAGGCCAATGCCTGTGGTATTGACAGGGAAAATGAAAAATGGACAACCTCCAAAAGATTCGGAGGGTGAAGTCTGATGGCCTCCTCCATGGTGGGCCACACCCTGTGCTGAATCGGTTTCCTTCACATTAGCTGCTGTGATGGACTTTGGGGCAGATGCGTGCAAATGCTGCACGAATGATGCCCATAGGCACTTGTGGGGTGCCAGAGTGCACCCAGGCCTGACTGGAATGGGGAGAACGAAGCTGTGGAGCAATCTGGTTGAGTGGCTGCCAGGCCTCCCTGCTCTTACAATTCCCATAGGTGCCACGACAGCTCTGCTGCCTGCTGACCCACCCACACCACAGTGGCGGGGCCTCACATCCCTCACCATGTAAAGTCTCTGTAAGGTCTCTGCTATGCCCTCACACCTGCCAGGACAAGGACTGCTCCAGGGCACATCTGATCTTGACATGGTCCACCTACACCCAGCGTGAATCTGGTGATGGGCCCTTCAGGGCTGGGGGTGCTGCTGCCGGCTCAGACCCCTCCCCTCATACCCCTCGGGACACCTGGGTTCTAGTCCCACCTCTCCTGCCTCCAGGAGGCAGTGTGGCCTTGGCCAAGTCTCCCCTTAATTTTGGGGGTCAGTTTCCCCATGTGCAACATTTGTCACCTTAGGGGGAAATATTCCTATAATGCCCCATAACAGGTATGCATTCATGAGGGAAGGGTTTCGAGTGACCAGTAGACTGAGGTTGTAGTAGCAGGGAAGTGGGGTTAGAAGAGGGTCCCATGACACCAACTCTGATTTGTGTGGCCACGGGCTGTTTCACCTCCTCTTCCTTGTCTCAACTGCTCAGGAGTGAGGGGTGCCCGGGCTGGCAGCCAGGACCATCCAAGGGAGGGGTCTGCATTCCTGGGGCAGACTCACTGAGGGTGGGAAGAACTTCCAAGAACACGACCCAGTGTCTCCTTTTACGGATGGGGAGACTGAGGCCAAGTGAGGCTTTGTCGAGGGTCACTCAGTGCCGGGAGCCACGAGGAGTCCTACTTAGGTGCCCTGGGGATCGTGTCAATTCCTACTCCTGGGACAGGCACTTGGGTGGCCCTGCCAGGTCAGGGAGCTCATGGCTGGAGTTGTGGCCAGGTGGCAGAGATCAGAGGCACTCTTGAAACAGGGAGGCGGTTTGCGGTCCCAGCTGCCAGGCCTCACCCAATGCATCAGTGGCTCCTGCACCCTGGGTCTGGGAGCTAGCCTCCTGGGAGTTTGGGTTCCCAGCTCTGGGGCCTGTGGCAGAAGGCTGCCAGGACCATGGCCTCCTGCAGAAGAGCCCAGAGTCTTGGAGCCATGAGTCTCCACAGGACTGATGTGGTCTTTACTGGCTTGCTCCAGCGAAGCTCAGGCAGGTCCCTCCAGGACAGGTGGGGTGGGGTGCTGAGGCTGGGTTAGTCCCAGGGCGCTGGGACAGTGGTCTGAGCTGCAGGGGTCCACTTCAGGGACCGCTGCCTGCGATGCACACACAGTCTTAGAGGTTCCACAAGTGAGCTGACTTCTGACACAGGCCTGCCCCCTCCTGTTCACCTGTCCAGTTCCCAATGCCCACCGCCTCTCATTAGCTCAGGCAGGCTGCCTGGACCTTAGGTCTTTTAAGAAATAAAGGAGGAGGTAGGGCCTGCTGCTTCCTCGGGAGAGGTCGGCCTGGGTTTGGAGCCCAGGTCCCTCTGGAGACCATTTCCCACCCATGGCTTCAGTCGGAAGGGCCTGTCCCTGTCCCAGTTTTCAGTGGGGGGACGGAGGTTTCCCCCTTCGTGTTAGACGGGGAGAGGCAGTCATGGAGGCCAGCGATTTCTTATAACTTCCTACTATGTTGCAATAGTTGTAAAACTATTAATAACTGAATGACAATAAAAACAATCTGTTTAATGTACTATTTATTATGTTGTTATTAACAATCAGTTCTGGGACAAAGTCCAATTCAAAACATATCACTAAGGATTCTGTTATTAGTTGCCATTAGAAATGGCATAATCCAAACCAATTTTTCAATAAATTTCCTTATGTAATCTCTAAGGAAGGGATTTTTACTCTCATCATCTGGCTCTGGAAAATCTTTAAGGGCAACATTCTTACATTAGGAAAAAAAAATCAGTAGAGTTGTTACTGAAGCTTCAAAGAGATGATATGCACAAACCAGAAAAACTACAAATCAGTATTTCTTTTGAACACATATTTGAATTTAACAGTTTAAATAATAGTGTTTTGATGAATCTAAAATGTGCCTCAAGAATGGCTGTTAACAGCTCCTTTTCTTTCTGGCGCACGGTGGAAAAAAATTCCTTTCCCTTTTCTTCAGCAGGAGGGGCTACAAACACGGCATCCCACCTCGGGATTCACCTGGTCCTCTTGAGAAACGAGCCGAAGAGGTTCTGGATCTGGTGAAATAATATTATCCAAGGGAAACGCCTGTGGAGAGGAGTCGTGTGTCTGCAGAGAGGGCCCCCTGTGGCCCCGGGGGCCGAGGTGGGCATGGGGGTGCTCACAGGGGCCGGCAGGGGCAGGAGGACCCACTGAGGGGGTGCCAGAAATCCTGAATGGCCTGAGCCATTCCTACCCCTATTTACTGGATAGTTTGTCCACAAAGACAAAGGCGTCACGCGTCACCTCACTGATTCAAAGACCTCTACTGTGTGTCAGTGTCATGCTACCAACAGCTGTAATATTTTAACGGGTCGGAGAACTTACAGATTTAAACCTACATTTTCTGTCACTAAGATGTTTTAACAAACTAGTATCGGACTGCTTGTGACAATGTCAATAGTATTTATACACCCAATTGCTTTTTTTTTCCTTCTACTCTTTCTTTAGGGAAAAGCTTGGTTATCTAAGTTTTGCTGCTCTCCTGCTTTGGTGCAACTGTCCCTTACTGGCTGCAAAACGCATGTTCATATGGACACAGATGAATTCTACAGCTGCACGCTGAATGAGTTCCACTGCTCCAGAGCTATGCTGAATGAGACCTGTTTCAAACAGTAGCCACATTCACTCATATAAAAATATACAATTTCCTTACCTCTGTAGAATCCCTCTTTTACATACCGCTAAAAATAGGTTCTTTCATTTTGACATCTTTTTACCCAATCATGCCAATCAGATAAGAAACACCATAAGACTGGGAGATAAAACCTTTTAAAACAAGTTATGTAGCAGAAATTAATTTTTAAAAAAGGTTTACTTTTAGAGCAGCAGTTAGAGACTTCCTACTTGTAATATGTAAATAATACTGCTATATCAAATTGTGGATTTAAATAAATTTAACAGTTTCTTATCTCTTCAAAAAGAATACAGATTTCTGTGTTACTTAATGGCTTCTCCATCCTTCCAGTTCCAAGGAATACAAAGGTCTCCATCTTGCATAACAGAATAAAAATGTGAAATGCAGAGGTGCATCCCTTGCAGGTAAGGCAGTGACTGTTCTAGAAGTCTCTTACAACAGTCCACCATTTGCTTACTAGAAACGCTGGGCTCCTTATAAAACTTTTCCAGGGAAAATTTCTTCGTTGAAGCCTGTATTAATTCATTTTCAATAACCTTTAACCTGTTATATTGAAAATAAACATAACATTGCTACAAGCTATCACCAAATAAAAGAACATAAAATAGATTAATGTTATATATTGAAGCTCTAACTTTCTTTCAAGATTTTATTTAAGCCCAAGCTAGTTCACATACAGTGTAGTATTAGTTTCAGAGGTGGAGTTTAGTGATTTGATTAATCAGTTGCATATAACACCCAGTGTCATCGCATCACGTACCTCCTTAATGCCCATCATCCAGTGCCCCATCCCCTCACCCACCTCCCCTCCAACAACTGTTTGTTTCCTAGACTTAAGAGTCTCATATTGTTTGCTTCCCTCTCTGTATCTTATTTTTCCTTCCCTTCCCCTATATTCATCTGTTTTGTTTCTGAAATTCCACATATGAGTGAAATCATGTGGTATTTGTCTTTCTCAGACTGAATTATCTCACTTAGCATAATACCCTCTAGTGCCATCCGCAGGTCCTTCTACTCTCAACAATGAAAATGGTATCCACAAAGGGTAAATAACATGCTTAGAAGACATGCCAATAGTTCCTAAGCATGTATCTCTGAAATAATTTGTTAAATCTTTTAGCAGCAATAGGTAAAGGTAATTAATACATAATTTAAAATGTTCTTATCTTGCCTCACTGAGCAGCTGTTAGTGACCAAAGAAAGCATAAAGATGAGTGTAAAAGCCCTGGTTTTAGGAACCACCTCCAATCTGACCCTTGGGCAGTAATGACTTCTAGAGACTTCCAAACACTCAGCAGGCTCACAACAAGACCAGGGAGCTGGGGAGGAGGCACTTCCCCTCCACTTTCTTCTATACCCATCCCTGGCCTGTGGGCTGCAATGCCTCTTGTTCCATCAAGGGCTTGAGTGAAGGCCTACAAAGCAGACAAATCAGGGCAGAACTCAGTATCTTAAATGCATTCTCCCACAGGTGGCCAATGATTAGAGGTATGTTTGGGTAAATAGTTTCAATCTTCTGAATCTTGGGATGTGCGAAAGAGGCCTCCACTTGTCACACCCTTGAGGGGTGTGCAGACCAGCATGGACATCACTTGGGAAGCCCACACAATAAGGGGAGCAAAGCAAAACTGCCAGAGTCAAGGATTCCCAAAGAAGTTTAAGTATTGCACTAGTTAAAAATACCCAAGTAACCTCTATTTACCCACTCCTTTTATTTTTTTTTTAAAGATGTTATCCATTTATTTGAGAGAGAGAGAGAGAGAGAGAGAGAGAGAGAGAGAGAGAGAGCACAAGCAGGGGGCAGAAGGAGAGAGAGAAGCAGACTCCTGACGTGGGGCTGGATCCCAGGACCCCGAGATCATGACCTGAGCTGAAGGCAGATGCTCGACCACCCAGGTGTCCCTATTTACTTAATCTCTGCATAAAGGAGAAGAGTACCATGAAATATCCATAAGCCAGAAAAAGATTTGGAAACAGAAACGGTCATTGCAGTGAGCTGGCGGTTAGTAGCAGGAGTGTGTAGTTGCTGACTCACTCCCTTCAGCAACACACAGAACACTTTCTCAGGTGCTGCTAGTCTTTTCTGTAAGATAACTCCTTCTAGACAAGGCTGCTTAGAGAAGGCAGACAGCAGTTACGGTTGATGGGGCTCTCAGAATGTCCCAGCTGGACCTGTACCTGCTTTTCCCAGGATCAGACAGGAAGAACCAGAGGTACCACCAATAGGAGGGACTGACAAACTTTTTTTATAAAGGACTTTTCTCACTGGCTCAGAAAAAAAAAAAAAAAAGACAGATATTAACAGTCTGGCTTAGAAACGGAGAGCCTCATATCATGGCCAAGTTACTGTGTAGTTCTCCAATGACACATCTTTATACACATCTCTGGGCAGGGCCATGCATTCCCATTCCTCCTCGGAGAAGCCTTTGGCCTCCTCCCTGGGGGTTGCCCTGACCCTTAGGCCACAACCTTTATAATCAGGAGTGCCCATCAGTCCTTCTGGGGTGCAATTTTGGAGGAGGATCGAGCCAGAGAGGGCAACCTTTGCTGAGGCCCTCTCCAGGGCTGGCCCCTCCACTAGGGAAACAGTGGGGAACAGCCTTTCCCTCCCTGGGTACCTCTCATTTACTTAAAATGCAGACGAAGCTTGCTTTACATCAGTAGTTCTCAAAGTTTTAAACAATAAAGATTCCTGTTATTCAAGTAGTAACTGAATCTTTCCTTGTTGCCACCTTTTTCCATCTGGAGAATTTCTTTCTGATATTCTTATCTTTTGTTCTGCTCCTGAGTTGACTTTTATACTAACAAGCCTGGCTTGTCAAATGGAGGTACATGGTGGTAATATAATTTAGGCTGTTATCATCAGACCTAAACACCACATGCAATGCCTGGCAGAATGGGGTAGGGGATAAATAAACATGGAATGTACACAAATCAGTCAATTTCCTAAGTTTCATGCAGTTTTTATGTCCCATATTTATGAATTCTGAATACCTGGGTTTTTAACAGACTGGCAAGACATTACAAAAGGCTCATGGCACTTACTCTTCTTTTCTTTTCATGTTGTCTCTTGCCTGCTGGGCTTTGGTGAGAATAAACCACTGGAGGTTTGCTGGGTCACAGAGGGTTGGGATGTTAAAGTGCCCAAGTTCATGCAAGCTTGGAGCATATCTGTCACTGTAACAAAATACACATAAAAGGAAAAATCACTCATCCCTCGTTCCCCACTCTACACCCAAATAAAATATTAGTCTGATGAGCAATGAAGGAATTCATCAAGAAAATCCACTTTAGGGATCCCTGGGTGGCGCAGCGGTTTAGCGCCTGCCTTTGGCCCAGGGCGCGATCCTGGAGACCCGGGATCGAATCCCACGTCGGGCTCCCGGTGCATGGAGCCTGCTTCTCCCTCTGCCTGTGTCTCTGCCTCTCTCTGTGTGTGTGTGACTATCATAAATAAATAAAAATTAAAAAAAAAGAACTATAAGAAAATCCACTTTAAAAGTATAGTAAAATTATGCTTTAAGTTCTGCTGTTCCCCAAAGAGACACACTTTCAGAGTAACCACATACTTCCTCACTCTGTGGCCACCCTCATCTGTAAAATGGAGGCAGTAGCTCACTTCACGGTGAGGTATGAGGTAAGGTGTGCATTTAGCACCAAGCACGGGCTGTGAAAATAATATGTGGACAAAAAATGTGGGCTATTGATTCAACATTAGTTTAATCCTAGACAGTTTTCTATAGGATTAACTTTGCCCTGTAAGTAGCATTGTATTTCAAGAATGTTCTGGAGAGTCAATCCTTCAATCCCTTCATATTGACTTTTTTAATGTGTAAGAGTGTTGCTAACAGGAGTGACATTCTTTTCTTTAGTTCCTAAGAATCACACACTGAAACACAAAACAATTTAATCCACTTACACACACAACATATCTAAGTAAAAGAATAAAAGTAGTTCTTGTTTTAGATATTTACCTGTTAAGGATCATTTGTAAACCACGCAGACTTCTAGGGTGAAAGGGTATTCTGTTTTTCAACAGTCTGTTATAGAACACATCAAGAAGAGAGTAATATTCTTCAAGCGTCAATACTGGTTGCAATTCCTCAATATAAACCACTTGTATGCCGCCGAGAAGGTAGCTTATTTGGTCTTCTAAAAGCATCAGCCTCCTCTGAAGGTCAAAATAACTTGGTAACCGTTCAAAAAGCTACAGTATTTTTTTAAAAATAAAAGAAATACTTAGTTTAATGTTTTTACAATAGCTCAATTTTAGGATTCCAAAAACTGTATTCAGAAATTTTAATAAGAAAATTGTTTTCCTAAAAGGAAAGTTCTAATAAGTGAAAGAAAAAGACTTAATGTAACACTGGAAATATTAATATTCAAAACAAACCACTATAAATCCTAGGGAGTTTTAGATAAGACTGAAGAGACTGCAGAAAAAAAGAAATATGTTCCAAATGAAAATAAGTCTTAAGTACTAACATTTAAATCTCAAATTATTTTAGAATGATTACATGATCTAATAAAGAAGGGTGTGAGAAATACAGGACATGTATTTCGGCTCCAAGTCTACTTTTTCAGAATTTCAACAAAACTCAATTCCATGCAATAAACATCACTGAGCATCTACCATGTACTTAAGCATGAAATTAGGTCTCCCTAGTCGGGGGTGGGGTGGGGAGGAGCTGCGTCCTGCTTTTCAGGTGGGGTGCAAGTAAACAAAACAAGAATCAGGATTCTTTGTCCTACGTGCCACAGAGAGGACATTCACGTAAAGGTTTCTTTCTTTTTTATTTTTTTAGGATTTTATTTATTTATTCACGAGAGACACAGGCAGAGGGAGAAGCAGGCTCTATGCAGGGAGCCCGATGTGGGACTCAATTCCAGGACTCCAGGATCACAGCCTGGCCAGAAAGCAATTGCTAAACCTCTGAGCCACCCAGGCATCCCTCAAGTAAAGGTTTCTAAGGAAGTCTAATGTGATCTGTCTGAAGAGATACAGTATTTAGCAAGAGGGATGTGGGTGTGTGTTGGGGGATGAGAGACAAGCATATGCAAAGATGGAAGCATGAAAAGGCAGCACATGGCCAACCCCAGAGTCTGGTACGGCTGGGGTGGGGAAGGCCCTGGTGCTGTGCTAAGGACTGAGACTTTATATAGAGAGCTGGCGATGTACAACTTACAGAGGACTGGAAAGGTATCACAAACCTCTACTAGAATAAAAGCAACAATAGTACACAAATTCTACAAGTAATTTATAATATATTTCTAACACTGTGAAAATAATTTCCCTACCTACTTTCTCCATTTTCCTATCAATAAGTTATCTATGTATAAATGGTAACTACCTTTAAAACACTTTTTATTTTCAGATAACTGTAAATACATACATCTTTCACGCAGTTTTCCCATGGTAACATCTTACAAAACAGTAGTATAACATCACAACTGGGAAACTGACATTGATACAACTTGCTGACCTGTTATAAAACTTTAATATCCTTCAGAGTTTGACATTAGAGTTTTTCTAGTTGTTGGCTCTTATGTGCATTTGTGTACAGGTTTTTGTGTGAACATAATTTTTACTTTTCTAAAATAAAGGCTCAAAGGTGTGACTGCTGGGTCATATGTTAAACATGTTTAGTTCTGTACTGTCATGCTTTTTTCTGGAGTCCTTGTATCATTCTACAGATTCCCATCAGTGATGGATGAGTGATCCAGTATTTCTGCCAGAATTTGGTGATGTCATTATCTTTCATTTTAGCCATTCAAAAAAATTTGTCATTTGTAGGTCTTCTGTGATATAGCTGTTCATGTCTTTTGGCTTTTTGGATTGTTTGGGTTTTTCTGACTACTGAGTTTTGAGAGTTCTTTATACATTAGGTACACAGACATTGTCAGATAAGGTTTCCAAATGTCTTCTATTAAATATTTGATTTGAATAGACAATTCACAAAAGAGAGTATGTGGACACCAAATAAGCATACACAAAGATACTTCCATCATTTTTCGTTAAGGAAATGCAAATTAAGTCCCCATGTAATAGCACCACACACCTATTAGAATGGCTAAAATTAAAAAGACCACCATCGCAAGCATTAGCAGTTTCTTAAGAGGTAAAATACCCTAACATATGTTCTAACTATTCCACTTTTAGGAGAAAAGGAAATATATGTGCATATGGACATAATGTTCCTAATAGCTTTATTTCTAATTGCCAAAACTGACATAATTCAATGTCCATCAATAGATAAATGGATAAACTAATTGGTATATTTATATGATGAAACACTACATGGGAATAAAAAGGAATAAGTTCTTGAAAAATGCAATAGCATAGATGAATCTGAAAATAATTATGCTGAATAAAGAAAACAGAACCCTCTCCCCCAAAGAAATACATACTTTGTGATTCCACTTATATGAAATTCAAGTAATATAAAATGATTTATGTGACAGAGAGCAGCCTATTGGTTGCTTGGGGAAGGGTGGTGGGATGGAGGAGAGAGTTTACAAAGGGACACAAGCATACTTTTGTGGGTGATGGATATATTCACCATCTTGATTGTGTTAATGGCTTCATGGATATTTACACATGTTAAATTTCATTGAATTATACACACTAAATATGTGCAGTTTATTGTATGTTCATTATAACACAGTAAATTCGTTAAAACCAAAAACAATAGAATGCAGGCTTTCTGGCTGCACTTCAGAAAAGACTATAAAATTTCCAAATAAAAATTGACTTAAAAATGAGGCCTGGAAGTATTTTAACTACATGACAATAAACATCGATCCTGAAAACAGCTGAAACTGTGATTCGAGTATTTTAGTTCACTGACATAATAGAGTTTGAAACAAAAGTAGGTCTATGACAAATCAGAGTTTTTTTGCTTTGAAACTTTTCCTTACTTTTGTCCAGTGATGATGGACATCCATTGTTCCTAGCATCACATGGCCCACTGCACTCATCCCGGATCGGTCTGTAAATATTATTGTACATCCTGATGATAAAACACAAACCCTTTGGTTACTATCCAGAGATGTGCTTTTTTTTTTTTTTTTTTTTTTTTTTTTTTTTTTTTAGCATTGAGCAAATAATTACTTAAATTTAGTATACAAATTCAGGCTTAAATTCAGTAGAAGCTTAAAGGCTAATTAAAAATTTTTTAAGATTTATTTATTTTAGAGAGAGGAAGAGTGTACACGCATGTGCACGTGAAGGGGGGCGGAGAATCTCAAGCAGACTTCTTGCTGAGAGTGGAGCCCAATGATACAGGCTAGGTCTCATGACCTGAGCTGAAATCAAGTCAGTCACTCAACTGACTGAGCCACCCATGCACCCCTAAAAGTCTAATTTTATGTTGCTGTTTTATTCAAAGAAACAGATTTAAAAGTTCAGCTGTGATGAAGTCACATCCGTAAAGTCTTTTATTTTATTTTTTTAAAAGATTTTATTTATTTATGAGAGACGAGAGAGAGAGAGAGAGAGAGAGAGAGAGAGAGAGGCAGAGACAGGCAGAGGGAGAAGCAGGCTCCTCGCAGAGAGCCCGATGCTGGACTTGATCCCAGACTCCGGGATCATGACCTGAGCGGAAGACAGACGGTCAACCGCTGAGCCACCCAGGCATCCCTGTAGAGGTCTTTTAACACTTAGTTTTACTCCACAATTTACAGATGTGTATAGCGGCTGAGTGATATTTTAAAAGAAAATGGAAATTGCTTACCTTTTGCATTTTTAAGAATTTCCAAGTTCTGCTGCACTAAGCGGCCTAAACTATGAAGCTGGCTACAGCGATGGGCAATGCCCCAGCTCCTCTGCCACCTAGTACAACAGAGTACACAGGCACATTAACACGAGGCCTCCCTGAGGGAAGAAGCATGCATTCACCCCCAGCTGCTTGATTCCTGTGAGTTTCTTTCTCAAGTAGGCATATGTTTTCCAACTAGCTCATTTTGTTATGAAGCAACCAAATGGAAAATGAATGGTATGCTAGAGGGTAAAAATATTACTACTATGTTCAGATACCCAAACATTTCAAATAAGCAAATACACTATGCTGTTTCTATTTTAAAACAAGGGAATTAAATGGAGAACACTTAACATCTTTTTCATCTCCACATCATTCAATGATGATGATTTTGTTTTAGATTTAAGTCCTAATTAGGAATACTAGTTCTAGATCTGATTCTTTTTGTCTTATTCTAGGGGAAGTGATTTTTATGACATGTAACCTACTTATCCTATAAATGAACACCGAGGGGGATCCCTGGGTGGCGCAGCGGTTTGGCGCCTGCCTTTGGCCCAGGGCGCGATCCTGGAGTCCCAGGAGCCACTCTCTCTCTCTCTCTCTCTCTCTGTGACTATCATAAATAAATAAAAAAATTTAAAAAAAAATGAACACCGAATATTAGTGATGAAATGGAACCTGATACTCACATGGTGTCACAGAGGCACTGGAGTGCAAAGGTAAAGAGCACTGGTTGTTAGTAGTCTCAGAACATCACCTTTGAATTCTAATGCTGTGATTTATTAGCTCTGTGACCTTAACAAGTTGCTCCTAGCTTTCCTAATGTTTCCATTTCATACATACAAAGTGGGATCACTTCGTTTAGCACAGGTAGCACAAATCGAAGGGAATATATGTGAAGGTATAAGGCACTTAAAACAAGCTCTCAAAAAACTTAGGTTCCTTCTTCATCCTATCATTGATTCTAATGAATTTAATTTCTGATAAAGCCGATTTTCAAAAATTTTCCTTTAACCCACAGTTGAAAATGATATAATTTAAAAGAATGTACACTACTAAATAAGCTACTAGTTATTTTTTAAAAGATTTTATTTATTTATTCATGAGAGACACAGAGAGAGAGAAGCAGAGACACAGGCAGAGGGAGAAGCAGGCTCCATGCAGGGAACCCGATGTGGGACTCAATCCCGGGACTCCATGATCACGCCCTGGGCTGAAGGCAGGCGCTAAACCGCTGAGCCACCCAGGGATCCCCTAAATACAGTTCTCATTAATAAACGGTCGCTCATGCAGGCAGCTTAGAGTTAGAAACCATGTCACAGGTCACAATGTTTCCACATCTTTTGGAAGCACTGGCTAATCTTCCAATAGTGGAAAGCTGTTGTATCCATAATCCTCAATTGTTTTGGTCTCAGAAAGCTTTTGCACTCTTAAAAATGGAGAACCCAAAGAGCTTTTGTTTATGTGTTCTACATTTATTGATATTTACCATGGCAGAAATCAAAACTGAGATATTTCTACACCATATTTGTAATATAATGCTTGTTTCTTTTCATATTTAAGAAATCCTAAAAAAAAAAGTCCTTTCATTTTCCTAATCCCAGCCTCTTTGTCAGATCATTTAGAATTTGTAGTAGAAAAAGGTACTTTTATGTACATAAATTTATTTTACAAACTTTTAAAAAGGATCTTATTATTTGGGTGTTAGCTAGAAAAGCCCATGCTACTAGACTGTGGAATTGGAAGAAGCCCTTATTAATCAAAGCAGGGCCTAAAAATACTGATGTGATGATAAAAAAGCACCTATCAGCACAAAGCCAAACATTCCACACACCCCAAGCCTATACGCTTTCCTTGAAATCTGAATTATCTTTTATAAAATACCATGATAAAAAAACCCCAAACTATGATTTGAATATATAAGAACAATACATGTATTATCAGTACTCCGTAGGCACCAGAAAAGGTGCTATTAGATACCCAAGTAGTCACTTAGTTCAAAAGAAGAAAAAGAATCCTGATAATTGTTGAAAACAACAAAACAGGTCACAACGAACAATAAATGGAATGTTCAAGCACGAGACTGGACAACAGTTTCTCAGAGTTCTTATAACAGGAACTTCCACAACTGTATCACATCAGGGCCCCTTTCCCCTCCCTTACTGTTTTAACAGCTGTTAAATCTGTATTTATAATAAATGCCTGTTATCGTTATGTAACTGCGATTTCCAGGTTAATGAAAACATCTTTGAAAAGTCATGCTATACAACACAGAATCAAGAATACACAGGAGGGAGGAATAATTACTTTTTATATATTATGTGCATATGGAAAGGATATTTTTCTTATAAATATTACTTTAAAAATTAAACTGTTATGGTAAAAATGTCAGTATCTAAACCTTACTTCACTATTTTAAACAAGAAATTAATAATTTTCTTACATAGACGAACATTTGACTACTTTCAGAAAAAGATAACAGAAGACTACTTATAGTTATCAGAAAAATTAAAGTTAAATATGCAAATATCTAACTCCTGGAAAGCTTGACCAGTAGATAATATATGCTTATTTTAGCCTCTAAATTAGGTTCTGTCTTTGTTACCTGATGTCTGAGAGCTGAAGCTGATGAGACAGATCATCTTTTAAACGGTCTAGTTCTTTTCTAAGTGGCAAACTATTCTTCAGTTTTTTAACTGCACTTTTCCCATTGTTATCTAACCAGGATCTAGAAAGAAAAAAACCAGAGATATACGCTTTTATTACTAAGTATAATGCAAATATTTCTAGCATTAAAAGACGTAGGCACTACAGTAAAACAGCCCCAGTGTTAAACTCAGTTTCCAACCAAACCTTTACCAAAGTAGAAGCAAAACACAAGGTGGGGAATGTTGAGTACAGCCTGAAGTAGGAGCACTAAATTCAGTGGGGCATGCGGAAGGGTGGCAGTGAGCACCAGGGAAGTAAACAGAGCGGCCTGAAAGACAGGTGTTTCGAGAGGCTCTAGGGTAAGAGAGACTGGAGTGGTTATCTGGCCACCAGAGGGACTATGAGGGAGTAAGCATTGAGAGCTCAGGCACTAATGACCAAGATTTAATTAAAGTAAGAAGTCGGAGTCTACCCAGCTAGAACCCACAAGGTAATCCTTGTAAGTTCCTTCATTAGGACATATTCACTGCTCTTTAAATGTCACCAGCACCATTAGATGGGTCTTCTGAATTTGACTTTTTTACTTTATTAGTTGTACCATAACATTATTTACCCATTTGCTCTGGTGGAAGTAGTGGTTCTATCCTCTCACCTGTACATGAGTGATGTGTGGTATAGCCTACTGAAAGTTGTAATACACATAAGGGGGAGGTTTTGAAGTATCTTGAATTTTAAAAAAAAAATTTTTTTTTAAATTTATTTATGATAGTCACACAGAGAGCGAGAGAGAGAGAGGCAGAGACACAGGCAGAGGGAGAAGCAGGCTCCATGCACTGGGAGCCCGACGTGGGATTCGATCCCGGGTCTCCAGGATTGCGCCCTGGGCCAAAGGCAGGCGCCAAACCGCTGCGCCACCCAGGGATCCCGTATCTTGAATTTTTAAACCTTTATCCCATCTCTGGAAATAACAGCAATAGGTTTAGCATAATTAAAATTTAATTTAAAAAGAATTTAATTTTATTATATATGCAAAGGAAATCATCATAACTAGAATATGATTAAACAGGTGCTGGCACAATAAACATTTTAAAAATTATCAAATTGATAACCTTGGAACCAATAAAATCTTTATGCATTTACCAAGTATTTATTTGAAATGCCTGATACTGTGTTGTGTTGGGATATAAGGAAGATAAAATCACTGTGCAAAGGAAGACACATCTACTAAGGAATATAGAGAAAAGAAGTTAGAATAGGATATATGAGGGGCACCTGGGTGGTTAGATCATGATCCTGGGGTCCTGGGATAGAGCCCTGTGGTGGGCTCCCTGTTCAGTGGGGAGTCTGCTTCTCCATCTCCCTCTGCCCCTCCCTCTGCTCATGTTCTTTTTCTCAAATAATTAAATAAAAAATGTTTTATAAAGAATAGGATAGATGAACCTCTATGGGAACAAAGGAAGAATTAATTCTGTCTGTAAGATTCTACAGAACAGGTGATATGTGACCTGTAACCTGAGAGATGTATCAGATGTTTCCAGGCAGATTAGTGAGGAGGAAGGGCTTGCCAATCACACTAGTGCACAAGAAACCCTAAGGTGAACCACTGTGCCCAGATGGAGGGACGTACAAAATTAGACGAGTGAAGAAGAGTGGGGGGCGGTGGGGGAACAGACCATGAAGGAGGAGTCGGGACCTTACCCTCTAAGAAAAGGTATTCGACATTTTTTTAAAAAAAGATTTTATTGGGATCTCTGGGTGGCGCAGCGGTTTGGCGCCTGCCTTTGGCCCAGGGCGCGATCCTGGAGACCCGGGATCGAATCCCACGTCGGGCTCCCGGTGCATGGAGCCTGCTTCTCCCTCTGCCTGTGTCTCTGCCTCTCTCTCTCTGTGACTATCAGAAATAAATAAAAATTAAAAAAAAAAAAGATTTTATTTATTCATTCATAGAGACACACAGAGAGAGGCAGAGACATAGGCAGAGGGAGAAGCAGGCTCCTCGCAGGAGCCTGATGCAAGACTCGATTCCATGTCCTGGGATCATACCCTGAGCCGAAAGCAGGTCTTGAATTGCTGAGCCACCCAGGCGTCCTGGTATTTGACATTTTTAATTCACTAACTTTGTGCTGTAATTAATAACTCTTCCTACTCCCTTTTCAAGGGTACTGGTAAAAACTTTGTCATCTCTGCATAATGTAGTAAGAAAATAAATAAAAATATCCACTTTACATCACTATTATTAACTATCACATTACAATTTTTCAACATTTTCCTCATTTATTAATATATGTTATTCAATTTACCTTAAATCATAGAAGAGAAAGCATGACTTGCTGACAAATGAATTCTCAAACAACATACTGTCTTTGGTTTGGTGACAAAAAAATGTCTTTAAGTGTAGACAAATACAATCTTAAGATTATACACTTATGACTTGATTTCTGGAATTCTTACATTTAGTATATAAAAATCAACTGGTCTAGGGACGCCTGGGTGGCTCAGTGGTTGAGCATCTGCCTTCGGCTCAGGTCGTAATCCTGGGGTCCAGGGGTCCCTGGGACCCCGCAGGGAACCTGCTTCTTCCTCTGCTTGTGTCTCTGCCGCTCTCTGTGTGTCTCTCATGAATAAATAAATAAAACCTTAAAAAAAAATCAACTGGTCTAGTTTAACAATTTTTTTTGTGTTTTTTTTTTTCCTAAACAGTGATATAAAAATGAAGCTTCTAAACACAGCATTTAATATAGATAAAGATACAGGTTTCCTGGCTTCAGCCAAGAGAGGTTCAGGAGCTACTGAACACATGTAGCCCCCAGGTCTTGGTTTCTAAAAACCATTCCTTACTAAAAAGAACCAGAACTTCCTGGCGAAATGGCAGACTCAAACACTAGGGCAGAATGGTCCAGAAGAGCTTGGAATGATTTAATGAATCAGAAAGTGAGATTTCCCAAGGAATGACAGGAACAGAGGAGCCAGCTTGAAGGGATGGTAAAATCAGAAAATTACTATCTGGAAACCATCATAGTAATATACGATTCAGGCAAGAATCACCAATGAAGCTTCGGGCTAGGGAGTTCACGTGTGGTGAGTAAAATGATGTTTACACAGCTCTAAGTATCTCTTCAAAATAAACTAACTGAAAGGAAAACTGGTAAAGTATTTATTGTGGAAAAAAATAGGGGTCATCACCTTAATCATTTCTTTTCCTTATGACATTGGTTGGACCTTCCAAGACAAGTTAAGTTGTAGAGGGGAGGTAAGACTTGTTTCTCTTCCCATCTGCTTTCCATCTTTCAAAAATTCCAAAAAGCACATCTCCCACTGACATTCCTTTGTTTTCCCTCAGCCACCTCCATGAACCTCCCATAAGTCCCTGGGGATCTGTAGGGTACCAACTGGGAAATGCTTCTCTGGATAATGCACAAGTTATTAAGGGGAATGACATGATAAAATATTTTTGTAAAACTGAATATTTAATATTAGGGGGAATATAGACTCTAGGATGCAGGGAAGAGAAACCAGTAGTAACAGATCCTTAGTAAGCTATAATGCAGTAAGTAGTAATGCAGATTCCCATTAAGCATTTTTGAATGATCCTATTCTTCCCTAAGAAAAAACTATGAAGACAAACTGGAAGTAAGGCAAGAGCAGCATTTACTTTAAAATCTTTCTGGACATACTCTCCCCCTAACTTCTGTCCTATGACTGGCCAGGGACTTTTTTAGGATCTCTTTTTGAGAGACACAATCACAGTCCGTTTGTATAATTTCTACAATAATTTCTGTACTTGTCTTATTTCCTCCATGACCCTATTACCTCCACTAGGGAAAGATGAGTCTTTTATTATCTAATGTTGTTACCTAATGTCTTTTATTATATAATTTGATTTTTAAATCTGATCTCAGGAGATCACTAGACAACCTATAGTTTAACTATGCAAATTAAGTCATAAGGCAAAGAGAAAAGTATACCTTCTTGTCCAATATGGAAATACATGGTTATCCTGACTGTCCATACTCTAGAACTAGGAGACAGAGATCTGCATTACTCTTTAAATGAGAATTCTCTATTGGATTTTGAAAGGACATTAATGCCTGATTTTGCCTCAAAAATAATTTAAATTCTTAATTTTGCAATCGTAGTCATTTGTAAAATCTAAACCCTTTATTTTTAATGGGGAGAAGTCCACTTAAATTATTATTGAGATTTAGGAGTCATCTTATTTTCATTTTATAATAAAATAGTTAAACCATATGTTTTAACCTTCACTAATCAAGAACTTTAAGAAATGTTGAATTTCTTATTTGGAAAAATTTATAAAAAATAAAATCATCCAAATAGTGCTTAGTAATCACTGATGTGTATATTTTTAAAGTAGTATTAGTTTTTTTTAAAGCTCTATTGATGTACCAAAAACCATAAGACACCTAGAAATAAGCCTAACCAAAGAGGTGAAAGACCTGTACTCTGAAAACTGTAAAACACTGATGAAAGAAACTGAAGATGACACAAAGAAATGGAAAAAACATTCCATGCTTATGGACTGGAAGAACAAATATTGTTTAAATGTCTATACTACTTAAAACAATCTACACATTTAAAGCAATCCCTATCAAAATACCAGTATCACTTTTCATAGAACTAGAACAATCCTAAAATTTGTATGGAACCACAAAAGATTCCAAATATCCAAAGCAGCCTGGAAAAAGAATAGCAAAGCAGGAGGCATCACAATTCTAGACTTCAAGTTATATAAAGCTGTAGTGATCAAAACAGTATGGCATCAAAATATTTTTACTGGCATAAAAATAAGCATCAATCAATGGAACAGAACAGAAACCCTAGAAATGGATCCATGACTATGTGGTCAATTAATCTCCAACAAAGCAGGAAAGACTATGCAGTGGGAAAAATACAGTCTCTTCAACAAATCGTGGTGGGAAAACTGGACAGCAACGTGCAAAAGAATAAAACTGGACCACTTCCTTACATCATAAACAACATAAATTCAAAATGGATGAAAGACCTACATGTGAGACAGGAAACTACTAAAATCCGAGAGGAGAACACAGGCAGCAACCTCTC